CTTCTTTGAATCTCTTGTTGAGTTCCTCACATACTTCACGGTCATTTCTTGTTGTCTCCTCCTTCCTTCCTTAGCCTGATTACCTGGTCCTTGAGGGTTTTGTTTCCTCCTGATGTGGCTGTATAACAGCTTCGGGTTAAAATTTGGCTTTTGCTGCTATGTCTTTTTCATATTGACGTTGGGCCTCCCTTCTTATCTGTGAAATTTTCGTTTTCTGGCTCTACGACTGCTCTCCTTATTCTCCGGGGTCCTTTGCCTTCTATTTTTCTTCCATTCCCTAGCACACTTGGTTTTTGCCTCCTTGCATTTTTGGGTGAACCAGGGGCTCATCCTGGCTTTTCCTTTATTCCTGTTACCCTTGGGTACAAACCTCTCCTCGCCTTTCTTCCCACATTGTTGCTACATATTCCATCTCATTAACGGGCTTCCCTGCCATTTCTCTGCCCCACTGAACCTCATTCGGAAGTTCCTCATTCCTGTGTAGTCCCCTTTCCTTTTAGTTTGGTTTCTTTTTGTCCGGGCCTTCCTGCTTTCCCCTCCACTTGTAGCTGTACTGTGTATTCGAAGCTAAAAACCACATGACCGCTGGCTCCAAGGGTCTTTCATATGTGATGTCCTCAATATTGCACTACTCAAGGTGAATACTAAGTCCGTCTTGGTTCATCCTCTCCTCTCTCTCTTGTAGTGTCCCTTACGTGTTGGTACTGAAGTTTTCCAGTACCACCTCCATCATCTTAGCCCTCCATGTATCTTGGCCCCCATGTGGCTCCAAGTTCTCCCATTCGATCTCCTTGTGGTTAAAGTCCCCCATGATCGGGAGCTTTGCCCTGCATGCATGAGCTCTTCTCGCCACTGCAGCCAGTGTGTCAACCATCGCTCTATGCTCTCGTCATACTTTTCCCCTTTGGGCCTCCTGCTGTACTGTGGTGGGTTATACATCACTGCAATTATCACCTTGGGCCCACCAGAGTGAAGCGTTCCCGCTATGTAATCCTTTCTTCTCAGCTGTCTCCTCTCTCCAGCTCATAAAAATTTCCATCAGTGTTTGATCAGCAATGCCACCCCTCCCCCCCCCCCCCCCCTGTTCCTTCTGTCTTTTCTCAGGATCTGGTATCCCGCGGGAAAGATGGCATCTGTTATCATACCTGTAAGCTTGGTTCTGTGATCGCTATGATGTCTGTGATGCCTCTTTGACTCTTTCGTGCCACTCCCCCACTTGTTTGTTATTCCTCAGCGTTTGTGTACCATACCTTCAGTTTCCTTTCAACACTCTGGTTTGGGGGGCCTGTGGGGTGGGAGACCTGGTAGCATACTGTGGATTCTATGGTTGGGGGTTGGGTGGAGTTTGTGGGTAGGATTGTATTGTGTGTTGGGATGGTGTGATAGGTTGTGGGGTTCTGAGGATAGTTGTGTTGTGCTTGCCCTTTCTGCTCTGTTCTGCTCTGACTGACCTCTGCTGGTTCCATCCTTGTCTCCTTTCCTAGTTCCTTTCGCTTTTTTGTCCTCCTCCCCCAGCTGCTGTCTCTCTGTTTGTGTTTGTCTCTGTCTAGGAACACCTTCTTGTACTCTTCCGAGCTTTTCAACCATGGTTTCTTTTGGGAGGATCCTGTTCTGCACTGTTTCTGTCCTGAGAATCAGCTTGATGGGTCGGTTTCCTCCCTTTCAAGTACCCCCCTATTCTCTGAAAATTTATAATCTCATCCATGTCTTTCTCCCCTATTTCGTGATGATTTTTCTCAATCTCCTTTCTTTCTTCCTGCCGTCTTTCAGTGGTGTCCTTTCCTCTCTCCCCCGAAGCCCATGGGATAAATCACTGATTTTCCCCCTTTCCCTTTTCCCCTCCCATTGCCTCTCCCTCTGTGACTCTGGTTCCTGTCTGTATGTGTCATTTTCTCATTTGATTTTTCCAGTGGCTCTTGGTAAGCATGGTTGTGCCTCAGCATTCGACTTATCTCCCTCTCCATCTGCACCCATCTGCTCTTCCCTTCCACTCCCTGCCCTTCTTTGCAGGCTGATATGACCTTAGCATAATTCATATTCCTTCCTTCCCCGTTCAGCCCCTCATCTTCGTATGTGTGTCTTCTTGGTCACAGCCCCTGAGACTTGCTTCAGCCTGTTTACCTCAAATTCTAGGACCTTTACCCTGGCTACTGCAGTTTCGACTTGTGCCTCCAAATCTTCGTCTCCTTCTCCAACCTCTTTTTCCCATTTCACAGAGAGCTCTTTCTCCATTTTTTTAGAAAGTTCTCCAATTTTCTCTCCCATTCTGCTCTATTTCCCTTTTTCCCCTGTTCTTCCCATCCATTCCTCCCTACCAGTACCATTGCTTCTGATCCCCGATTCCTGCGAGTCCCCAAACCCTTTTTTTTTTTTTTTTTTTTTTTTAGTGAAAGAGAGAGAGAAAGAGAAAAAGAAAAAGGGGGGGAGAGTGAGAGATAGAGAGAGAGAGAAGGGAGCCTAGAAGGAGGGGGAAAAAAGGGAAAAAGGGGGGGAAAGTGAGAGAAGGGAAAAGGTAAGAGGGGGGGGGGAGTGACAAGGGGAAAACAAAGAGAGATAAAAGAAGAGGGAAAAGAGAGAGAGCAAGAGAGGAAGAGAGAGAGAGAGAGGGAGGGGAGAGAGAGAGGAAGAGAGAAAAGTGAAGGAAAGAGAAAGGGGAGAGAGAGAGAGAGAGAGAGAGAGAGAGGGGGAGAGAAGAGAGAGGGGAGAGAGAGAGGAAGAGAAGGAGAAGGAGAAGATGGGGGGGGAAAGGAAGGGTTATAGGGTCACTTCACAGGAAGGTGTAAAATCCTCTATATGTGTGTGTGTGTGTCGTATGTGTGTGTGTGTGTGTGTGTGTGTGTGTGTGTTTTTGTGTGTGTGGTGTGTGTGTTTCATGTGTGTGTGTGTGTGTGTGTGTGTGTGTGTGTGTGGTGCTACAGCTATTCAAGTGCCTAACAGCAGAGCTGGCCTGACCTAGTGTGTGTGCATATGTTTATGTAAACAGTCCTTTATTTCCCACGTATGTACTACATATGTAAATGTATATGTACCGATCTCTTGGTTCCCCATGTACGTCTTATGCGTTTAAAATTATGTTAAAAAATAAATACACTAGGCTTCGCCTATATGCCGCTACCCCCTAAATTCTATTAAATGCCAGTAAATGCTGCTTATTCTAATTCTGATAGCTCGAGGAGAGTGACCCCCCAAATTTCCCGCTAGAGACAGGTACTATTGACCCCCTGCAACTCAAACTAGGTGAATATTACTTGCGGCTGGCAGTGGGGAGTAACGTTGTGGGTCTGTCCTGTCCCAGAAGTTGAAGATGTTTGATGCTCTCGGTAATTTTTTCCACTTAAATTCCTGTATGCACTATAGTCTCTAGCTCTTCTAATTTTTTCACTCACTGTATTTACTGACAATCTATACATATTTTCTTATCTCCCTGGTCTTGAGTCGCACTTATTCTTCAAAATACCCCACTGCGTTATTATGGCAACACTATTTAGGCCTGACACAACCGTTCACCCTTCCAACGGCCCTCACTAAACACTCAGCCAATATTTCTTTTGTTTTCTTTTCTGTGATCACTTATATTTCCTTTTTTCGGGGCTTAAGTGATTATATGCACTCTTATGCGTGCACACTCCTATATCCCTCACTCTATTCCTTATGGCACAGTCAGAAATTACCACCAAAACACAAGCTCAAACCGCGTGATTCCTCCACGAGTGTGTGTGTGTGTACTCACCTATTTGTACTCACCTATTTGTGGTTGCAGGGGTCGAGTGAACCTCAACATATCTCCCCAAGATGTTCAATCTTCACACTTATGTTCATTTTTTGCACATGTTGTTAGTCTATATAACCGAGATAGCAAGTTTTGTGGAGATTATTGGGTGATATTCTCGAGATGTGTGACGCTACTCACGTCACTGTGTTACGTACACTGACATCATCATAAGTGGAGCTGCTCACGTCACTGTGTTACGTACACTGATATCATCATAAGTGGAGCTACTCACGTCACTGTGTTACGTACACTGACATCATCATAAGTGGAGCTGCTCACGTCACTGTGTTACGTACACTGACATCATCATAAGTGGAGCTACTCACGTCACTGTGTTACGTACACTGACATCATCATAAGTGGAGCTGCTCATATTCTATCAAACCTATAATATTGTTATTGATTTATTATATCATGTTTTATCTAAAACGTATATGCTAATAAGGGTATGGACTATATGTTAGATAAAAAAGATCAAAGGTGATTAATTGTATACACACCTGAGAAAGTGGGATTATTTGAGAATTATAATTATGCTTCATTGAGACTTCAAAAATCTTGTAATATTATTAAAAGAACTAGTCATTATTAACATATAAAAATCACTTTTAACATAATTTGTATAAGAGATGTTTATATTAATTAGCATGAGGCTGGCTGGTTAGTAGTAATTTAAATCAATATATTGTTTAACACGTACAGTACATGTACAAGTCATGAACCCTTCTTTGACCACGAATATATCTAGAAACTATTTAGCCACGAATCTATTTAGTATTTTAAAATAAATCCTGTATTTATATCAAAACATAACATTTTACCCTTGAGTCGCATTGTTTATTTTCGACGTTGTCATGGGCTACACTCCGTTGCTTTTAATTAACTGATAAATCAAACTTGCCCTGAGTGTTTCTGTTTCATTATCAGTGAGGTATGAGGGGATGTGTACCATTCCAGGGTCAGCAGTGTATATACACCAAGAACTGTCAGTGTATATACATTAAGGGGTATATTTTGTGTATTTCGTCCCAGTTTTAGTAATGAAAGCATTGTTAATGTTATTGTACAATAGAAATAATATTTTGGTGCACATTATTACACAACCTGAAAGTTTTGGGTTGCTCCGCGTTTTACATGATTCCAGGTGGTGGGTTTGGTATCCATTTTATTAATGTTACTTTCAACGACTTTCTTGATGGTTCAAGATCAACCTCCGCCTTACGCTCCAAATATTCCATATTTCTTGACATAGTTGAAGTAGCTGTTCAAGTCTTGTGGTTAATTCACTTGAAAAAAATGTCAGAGTCATCATGGCGGTGACAAATGTTATTTCTCATCGTCACGAGAGTTTGTAGGCGTTTATAAAGTGGTTCTGACTTGACTAAGTTACAGAACTTTCTCTGAAGCGCCCAATGAAGACTTATATCAAATTCCCGGGCAGCCACTTGGATATCATAGTTTTCTAATTCGTTGAACGGTATTAATACCTTTCGTTGATCGTAGCTAAAATATTCCTTATAGGACTGCTCACTGGGACCTAACATCTTCCAGTATCTGTCAGGCCTGAGACAACCGCCCTGGTAAAGTCTTGTTGTCACTTCGTACATAACAAACTGTCCTTGTTTCAGCACTGCTTGATCCCACACCTGTATCGATGATACACTGAAAATAAAGGAAAATGAAATGTACATAAAACAGTTGGTACTTAAAGCCTATGTTGTTATAAACCACAGGGGGAGTTGAATGATAGCTCTAGGTCTTTCATGTTGCAATCAGAACATCTTCAGGAGCTTGTAATACCTCAGATAGGAATCCAGCTTCAAGATTATGTCCAATAGACTAAATTATAAAGTTTGAATAATCAGAGATTATTATTATATAATTAACATTTATCATGTTTTATAATTTCAGATTCTAAACAATTTCTTTCCAGCCAAAAGAAGCAAGGAACCAAAACTCTCACTTCTGATCAATTTGCAGAGTTGTTGCAAGCTTCAGAGTTATTGAAAATTGCATTTGATTCCTGGGCAGTTCATACTGAATATCAGTGTTGTGTTAATGCAACATCTAGAGGTTTGCCAGTCTGTCCCAAGTTTCATAAGTTGCAACCATTACAAAAGTTCCTGTAAATACCACCAGCCCAGTGTTAAGGAGGATCCTTTATGAAACTGTTTTAAACTGTTAGCGAATTTTTAAAAACTACTTGTATGTTGAATCTTTTAAGGTCATTCTGCAGGACAGATAGATTTTCATTATATGGCAGAACCAGTTCATTCTTGATCTGAGGTGTTATCCAACGATCACTTCTATGACAAGTTTTCCTAGCTGTCAGCAATACTGTTTACCTGGAGTTTACCTGAGAGAGTTCCGGGGGTCAACGCCCCCGCGGCCCGGTCTGTGACCAGGCGTCCTGGTGGATCAGAGCCTGATCAACCAGGCTGTTGCTGCTGGCTGCACGCAAACCAACGTACGAGCCACAGCCCGGCAGATCAGGAACTGACTTTAGGTGCTTGTCCAGTGCCAGCTTGAAGACTGCCAGGGGTCTGTTGGTAATCCCCCTTATGTATGATGGGAGGCAGTTGAACAGTCTCGGGCCCCTGACACTTATTGTATGGTCTCTTAACGTGCTAGTGACACCCCTGCTTTTCATTGGGGGGATGTTGCATCGTCTGCCAAGTCTTTGGCTTTCGTAGTGAGTGATTTTCGTGTGCAAGTTCGGTACTAGTCCCTCTAGGATTTTCCAGGTGTATATAATCATGTATCTCTCCTGCCTGCGTTAAAGGGAGTACAGGTTCAGGAACCTCAAGCGCTCCCAGTAATTGAGGTGTTTTATCTCCGTTATGTGCGCCGTGAAGGTTCTCTGTACATTTTCTAGGTCAGCAATTTCACCTGCCTTGAAAGGTGCTGTTAGTGTGCAGCAATATTCCAGCCTAGATAGAACAAGTGACCTGAAGAGTGTCATCATGGGCTTGCCCTCCCTAGTTTTGAAGGTTCTCATTATCCATCCTGTCATTTTTCTAGCAGATGCGATTGATACAATGTTATGGTCCTTGAAGGTGAGATCCTCCGACATGATCACTCCCAGGTCTTTGACGTTGGTGTTTCGCTCTATTTTGTGGCCAGAATTTGTTTTGTACTCTGATGAAGATTTAATTTCCTCGTGTTTACCATAACTGAGTAATTGAAATTTCTCATCGTTGAACTTCATATTGTTTTCTGCAGCCCACTGAAAGATTCGGTTGATGTCCGCCTGGAGCTCTGCAGTGTCTGCAATGGAATACACTGTCATGCAGATTCGGGTGTCATCTGCAAAGGAAGACACGGTGCTGTGGCTGACATCCTTGTCTATGTCGGATATGAGGATGAGGAACAAGATGGAAGCGAGTACTGTGCCTTGTGGAACAGAGCTTTTCACCGTAGCTGCCTCGGACTTTACTCTGTTGACGACTACTCTCTGTGTTCTGTTAGTGAGGAAATTATAGATCCATCGACCGACTTTTCTTGTTATTCCTTTAGCACGCATTTTGTGCGCTATTACGCCATGGTCACACTTGTCGATAGCTTTTGCAAAGTCTGTATATATTACATCTGCATTCTTTTTATCTTCTAGTGCATTTAGGACCTTGTCGTAGTGATCCAATAGTTGAGACAGACAGGAGCGACCTGTTCTAAACCCATGTTGCCCTGGGTTGTGTAACTGATGGGTTTCGAGATGGGTGGTGATCTTGCTTCTTAGGACCCTTTCAAAGATTTTATGATATGGGATGTTAGTGCTATTGGTCTGTAGTTCTTTGCTGTTGCTTTACTGCCCCTTTGTGGGATGGGGCTATGTCTGTTGTTTTTAGTAACTGTGGGACGACCCCGTGTCCATGCTCCCTCTCCATAGGATGGAAAAGGCTCGTGATAGGGGCTTCTTGCAGTTCTGATGAACACGGAGTTCCATGAGTCTGGCCCTGGGGCAGAGTGCATGGGCATGTCATTTATCGCTTGTTCGAAGTCATTTGGCGTCAGGATAACATCGGATAGGCTTGTGTTAACCAAATTTTGTGGCTCTCTCATAAAAAATTATTTTGATCTTCGACTCTCAGTCTGGTTAGCGGCTTGCTAAAAACTGAGTCATATTGGGGACTTGAGTAGCTCACTCATTTCCTTGCTGTCATCTGTGTAGGACCCATCTTGTTTAAGTAGGGGCCCAATACTGGACGTTGTTCTCGACTTTAATTTGGCATAGGAGAAGAAATACTTTGGGTTTCTTTCGATTTCATTTATGGCTTTTAGTTCTTCCCGCGATTCTTGACTCCTATAAGATTCCTTTAGCTTAAGTTCGATGCTTGCTATTTGTCTGACCAGTGTCTCCCTACGCATTTCAGATATATTGACCTCTTTTAGCCGCTCTGTTATTCTTTTCCGTCGCCTGTAAAGGGAGCGCCTGTCTCTTTCTATTTTACATCTACTCTTCCTTTTTCATAGAGGAATAAGCCTTGTGCATACATCGAGTGCCACCAAGTTAATCTGTTCTAGGCATACGTTGGGGTCTGTGTTGCTTAGTATATCTTCCCAGCTTATATCGGTTAGGACTTGGTTTACTTGGTCCCACTTTATGTTTTTGCTATTGAAGTTGAATTTGGTGAATGCTCCCTCGTGACTAGTCTCATTATGTCGGTCTGGGGCTCCACGCATACATGTCTGAACCTCAATTATGTTGTGATCTGAGTATATTGTTTTTGATATGGTGACATTTCTTATCAGATCATCATTGTTAGTGAAGATGAGGTCTAGTGTATTCTCCAGTCTAGTAGGCTCTATTATTTGCTGGTTTAAATTGAATTTTGTGCAGAGATTTAAAAGCTCGTGTGAGTGTGAGTTTTCATCAGAGCTGCCTCCTGGTGTTATTACTGCAACAATATTATTTGCTATATTCCTCCATTTTAGGTGCCTTAAGTTGAAATCCCCCAGGAGCAAGATGTTGGGTGCAGGAGCTGGAAGATTTTCCAGACAGTGGTCAATTTTTAACAGCTGTTCCTGGAATTGCTGGGATGTTGCATCCGGAGGCTTGTAGACTACCACAATGACTAGGTTTTGGTTCTCTTCTACAAACTCTAAATAATCTTCCAACATCTGCTAGTAAACCATAGCTATACCATAGAGTACTTTTTTATGGAAATACGAAAATGTGTACGTTCTTGTGGGACTATGAAAACCGTCTAGTTTGTGGAAATACTACAAAAATGTGTTGAGTTTTCAGTAAATGCATTATAAACAGCAGAAAGTAATTATTCTTCTAGTAAGGCTTACGCCAGTCATTCTACCATAGCTTATAACAGTGACACTATAGTATTTTTTGTGGTGGAGCGAGAAAAAAATAGAATTGTTTGTGGAAATAGGATGTGTTGTGGTATTGTCAGTGGTGCAGAATATATAACAGAAAATACTCCCACTCGTTCTTCATAGCTAATAATTGTAATTGGTGTGGAGGAGTTAGAAAAAAATCTTGAAAAGTTAGAGTGACATATAAAAGCCCATAATCTCAGGCTGTAAAAGAGGTGCCAGAGGTCACCAGTACTCTCAACACGTAGAAGCTGCCAGCAGTAACCAGGTCACCCAACACCCAAGTCAAACACTTTTATAAGTACACTTTCTAAAACTAAATGCTTTTATATTAGACTTTTACACTACCCAGCCTAGGAGATCTGTCAAGTGTACCAGGAGTAATGTCTGATGTATGAGACACTGAAACTGTAAATAATCTATAAAAGTATATATGTCGAACACAGAAAAAATATACAAACTACGGTATATATAACCAACAATGCAGAAACAAGCGAGATTTTAATTGGGTTATGTGCAACTTCAATGAAAAATCATCTCATGGTTCTTGTGAAAAACTTTTGCAATCATCCACTAATGATAATAAATTAGGAAAATGTTTTCGCGTCTGCCCATGCAATAGTCACCTGTGGGAAAAAATGACAACTATACTGAAAGACAGAAGCACCAAAATATCCTTCTTAGAAAACTTGTCACTGAGGTAAGACAGTCGAGAAAATGAAAGGAGTGGGTCTTGTGGAGGTGTCACCCCTGGTGCTGTTGCTGTTTTGGAGGATAGTACCTGTAAGAATACAGAAATGTAAGTCAGTGCACCAGATGGAGACAGGAGTCCTGGCGCTGGAAAAACAGGTATACACAAATATATGTGAATTCCAGAGCAACAAAATAACAAAACTACTGGAGCTGGCCAAAAACGGGATGATGCTTCAGAGAATAGTGTTGATACATTACCATTAAAAGCTGGTGGAAGCACTGTTGTTAGTACAGGTGCTGGAGATAATGGGAAGTCAGAAAAAATGCACCAGTAGGGAATGCAGCCACGAAAAATCCTGGCAAACAGAAATCAGGCATAGAATATCTGGAAAAACAAGTGGGACATGAAACTTTGACCATCCCAAATATGCCGCACCCACATGACAACAGGGGAATGTAGCTCTTTTTCTTGTAATTTATTTCACCATGAAATGTGTCAGACCAAGAAAGACAATGTTACAACACATACTGCCAGGCACACTATCTGAAGGCGACAAGAAGATTCAGCCCACGGGAAACAAACCAACGACAGACGTTTTTAAGTGCTAGGAATAAACAAAAGTTGGCATGAAATGGCTTAA